TTTTCTATTAAACCCAAAAGGCGGCACAGTTTCATCCAGATGTCTTCCGGCAGTAAGTCTACAACAACTTGGCATAGCCAGTTTGTCATGGCCAGTTTACCACTGCCAGCTCACCACCCCAAAGTCGCCTATACCAACTCACCACCAAGTCACTACAAGATAACTCCACAGGGCCAACTCGCTGTGGAGACAACTCGCTGTGGGCATCCGGAGGGAGTCCCAGCCAGGTGCATGAATGAGTGGGCAAAGTGCAGAGTGGTGATGGCAACTGAGGTTTTAGGTTTTATTTGATTTGTATACCGTCCTACTCCCGAAGGACTCAGGGCGGTGAACAGCCAACAATAAAATACATAAATACACAAAATTTAAAAACCCGATAAAATCAAATTAAACTTTTTGGCCCAGACAAATTAAAATACCCCAATAATTTAAAAACAGATTAAAATTTACATATTTTAAAAAGGGAAGAGATCAGGCCAAGCCCGCTTGATGGAATAAAAAGGTCTTCACAGCACGGCGGAAGGAACGCAGATCCGGGATCCTCCGTATCTCCGGGGGGAGCTCATTCCAGATGGTAGGTGCCCCCACAGAGAAGGCTCTCCCCCTAGGGGCCGCCAGTCGACACTGTTTGGCTGACGGCACCCGGAGGAGTCCCTCTCTATGAGAGCGTACTGGCCGGTGGGAGGCTATTGGTGGTAGTAGGCGGTCCCGTAAATAACCAGGCCCTAAGCCATGGAGCGCTTTAAAGGTGGTAACCAAAACCTTGAAGCGCACCCGGAAGACCACCGGGAGCCAGTGCAGCTCGCGCAGGAGAGGTGTTACATGGGAGCGCCATGTCGCTCCCATTACCACCCGCGCGGTTGCACTCTGCGCCAGTTGGAGCCTCCGGGTGCTCCTCAAGGGGAGCCCCATGTAGAGAGCATTACAATAGTCCAGGCGGGAGGTGACGAGGGCATGAGTGACCCGATCCAGAAAGGGACGCAACTGGCGAATCAGGCGGACCTGATAAAAAATCCTCCCGGTCACGGCCGTCAAGTGTTCTTCTAAAGACAGCCGTGAATCCAGGAGGACGCCCAAGTTGCGAGCCCTCTCCGTGGGGGCCAATGATTCGCCCCCAATAGTCAGTGATGGCGTCAACTGGCTATATCGGGACGTCGGAAACCACAGCCACTTGGTCTTGGATGGGTTGAGCCTGAGCCTGTTCCTCCCCATCCAGATCCGCACGGCCTCCAGGCACCGGGACATCACTTCAAGGGCATCGTTGGGGTGATCCGGGGTGGAGATGTACAGCTGGGTGTCATCAGCGTACTGATGGTACTCCACCCCGAAACCACGGATGATCTCGCCCAGCGGCTTCACATAAATGTTGAACAGGAGAGGTGAGAGGACCGACCCTTGCGGCACCCCACATATGAGGGGCCTCGGGGTCGACCTCTGTCCCCCTGTCAACACGAACTGCGACCGGTCAGAGAGAAAGGAGGAGAACCACCGCAACACGGTGCCTCCCACCCCTAACTCTTCCAACCGGTGCAGCATGATACCATGGTCGATCTTATCAAAAGCCGCTGAGAGATCTAACAGGACCAGGACAGAGGAGCACCCCCTGTCCCGAGCCCTCCAGAGATCATCAACCAATGCGACCAATGCCGTTTCCGTGCTGTACCCGGGCCTGAAGCCCGACTGGAACGGATCCAGATACGTCGTTTCATCCAGGTGCTGGGGAAGCTGTTGCGCAACCACACTCTCAACAACCTTTGCCACAAAACGAAGGTTGGAGACCAGACGATAATTTACCAACATTGCCGGGTCCAGGGAAGGCTTCTTGAGGAGAGGCCTCACCACCGCCTCTTTCAAGGCGGCAGGAAAGACACCCTCACCCAACGAAGCATTTATAATCCCCTGGAACCAGCCTCGTGTCACCTCCCGAGAAGCCAGCACTAACCAGGAGGGACACGGGTCCAATAAACAAGTGGTCGCGTTCAGTCTACCCAGAATCCTGTCCACGTCCTCAGGGGTCACAGGATCAAACTCATCCCAGATAACATTCTCAAGACCTGCCCCAGTCCCTCCCCCTGAGACTATCCAGTCGGAGTCCAGATCTTCCCGAATCTGAGCGATTTTGTCATACAGATATTGGACAAAATCCTCGGCTCTACCCTCCAAGGGGTCCTCCCGCGCTTCCTGGTGGAGCAGGGAGCGGGTCACCCTAAACAGGGCGGCCGGGCGATTATCTGATGACGCAATAAGCAGCAAAATAGCTACATTTTGCTGCTTTTATCGCCACTAGGTAATTCCTAATATGAGCTCTTACCAGTGTCCGGTCAGATTCAGAAAGACTGGCCCTCCAACTACTCTCTAGGCGTCTTTTCCGGCGCTTCAACTCCCTCAGCTCCTCAGTGAACCAAGGAGCTAAATGAGATCGGCGCCGGGTCAGAGGCCGCAAAGGCACGACCCGATCCAGAGCTCCAGCGGCCGCCCTATCCCAGGCGGCCACTAGGTCTCCAGTCGAGGCGTGTGCCAGAGCCTCAGGGAATGGCCCAAGCTCCATCTGGAACCTATCCGGTTCCATCAGGCGCCTGGGGCAGAACCATCTTACCGGCTCCGCCTCCCTGCGGCGGGGTGTAGCGGTTCGAAGGTCGAGACGAAGGGGGCTTCCCATTTTCATACCCCCTGCCACTGGCACCGAGTTCTGGGCTGAAGAGGCTGGGGACATTGGCTGTAATGGTGGGCAGGGTGGGTGCAGCAGTGGCGGCCAGGTGGTGTCTCATTTTCAAACTCCTGGCCACTACCCTCTCCCCACCCACCCACCTGCCGAATACCACTGCTTTTTGGCCTTGAACTTGGTAGTGATGGTACCAAGGGGTGTGAAAATGGGAAGCTCCTGACCACTGATACTACTCTGCGCTCTGCCTACCAGTTCACTCACCTCCCCACACAGCTCTTCTTTTGACTGCCTGCAAAGAGTTGTCCCTGCGATGAGTTAGCCCTGTGGAGTTGTCGTATGGCAACTTGGCGGCAATGAATTGGCAGACATGAATTGGGAGTGGCGAACTGCTGGTAGTGAGCTGGCTGTGCCACACTAGCCATGTCAGATTGCCCCATTCCATCTGATTGCCACATGGTTTCAAAATGTTCATTGTGCCCATAGATGCAGAGAAGATGCAGAGAAGCTTGGGATTCCTGATTGTCTTAAATCATACTTATTTTAGTAATACCTATGGCATTTAAAAGCTTTAGGTCAATGAAATCACCTAGTAAACCACTAGGCTTTAAGTAATAATTTTCATTTTTGAATTCTTTTTTCACATACAAGAATCTGCAAGTGACAAAACACACATTGCAATGTTGTGATGGAAACTCTGTCCCTTACATACATTTATATGACACTGTCTTTTGCAATTCCATATTTTATTTTATCCGCATTATATTTTGAATGTATTTGAGTATAGTGCCACCAATCAATATTTATATCGCCATTTTGGAGTTGATGTCTTGGAGTAAGTTCTCCTTCATGATTCAGTAGATCTTGGTATCGCATCATCTTTCCTATTTCAAGAGTATTTGGAAATATCAATGCCTCCATCGGGGACCACCATTTTGGTATTTTAGTATAATAAGTTTTCTTGATTCCCTGCCAAATCTTGAAGAGTGAGGCCCGAATTGTGTGTCTTTGGAAGTACATGTGTTGTTTGTCTGGTCCATCCCATAGGAAGGCGTGCCATCCTCGTATGAGATCAAAGCCTTCTAGATATAAAGTTCTTTTGTCATCTAATCTCATCCATTCTTTAATCCAGATCTGAACGAACTGGACAGAATTCTATTAGGAGCAGACCAGAAAATGATTACCAAAACATATAACTATCTTTTGAGAGACAAATTAATAGAAGAAACAGTTAAACATAACATGATAATGTGGGCCAGGGACATAGGACATAATATTCAGTTGGCAGATTGGGAGAAATTATGGAAGCAGAACATTAAAATGACAAGAGCCACATCTTACAAGGAGAATTTCATTAAAATGTTTTATAGATGGCACCTACCACCAGCCCGACTTGCCAAAATACACCCAAATACTCCGGCATTGTGTTGGAAATGTAAAACAAAAAAGGGGACATATTACCACACTTGGTGGAAATGTAGGGAAGCCCAACAGTATTGGCAAGATATAAAAAATATTATTGAAGAAATAATGAACATTCAAATAGAAAACAGTCCAGAATTCTTTTTATTTGGCATGATAACAGCACAATATCTTAAGGAAACGAAATATGTCATCATACATATCTTGACAGCAGCAAGACTACTGTTCGCTCAAAATTGGAAATTAGACCAACTCCCATCCAAAGACAAAATCATCGCAAAGATATCAGAGTGTGCTGAAATGGACAGATTGATGCTGGAAATCCAGGAAAAGGAAGAAAGCGAATACTATCTTGTATGGCACCAATGGTATCAATGGCTGGAAAGGAAAATCAGCAATAATGTAGAGGATAGAAATTAGGGTAAAGACTTACATAAGGAGATGAACTCATAAGAAAAGTAAATTTGTAGTGTAAATTTATAATGTTGGAATTAGATACTTAATAATTACTCTCTATTAAAATATATAAGCTCAACAACATATATTCTGTTGATGCCAAAAACGTATATGTAGAATGTTAGGTAGGTTTGTAGGTGGTGGGTTTTTGTTTGTCTTTGTATTGTCTTTATATTTTTGTTTATATTTTAATAATAATTTTTTTTTTAAAAAAGACACTGTCATGCAAGTGTGAAAGAATAGACCTCATATTATGACATCACAATTTGCATTGTCTTCTGTCATTCATTTTCATGATTGGGAATCAACACTTGTCTCTTCCTCTTCCTCTTTCTCCTATTCCCATTATACCATTCTATATATTTCTGTTTAAGCCTATCTTGCCATTTTCAGTACTCACATTGGCGATATACTATACTAATCTTTCACAAACATCTAAAGCTCAAGAATGTCAATATATATCATGAACAAAACATTTTTGTATGTTTGATTAACAGCTGTTAAATATACTCAATTCAATAATTAATTTTCCTGTGTTGAAGCACTTTTGCAAACATAGTAATTATCAAGCCCCACAAAGATTCCCACAAGATCAAGAAACAAGAATTACAGAGACTTGACTAAGGTATGTTTAATGCTAGTCTTGGGGGAAGATGCAGAGTACTGGAAAGTATAACAGGAATTTCCAATTCTCATTTATACTGAGTTTGTCAAGACAGAGTCTTTTTGAATGATTTGAAATGCTTCTTCCTCAGTTTCACTTGGCTGATAGACTTTTATAAGATGAACTACCACCTTTTATCGCTTGATCATGTTGCCCATTTACTTTCCAGCCTCCCTGTCTCAGTCAGCATTGCATCATTTTTCTAAATAGGGAGATTTCTTTGTGGGAGAGTGAAAAGGCTGGTGGCAATGGAGAAAACTTGTGTTTCAGCTGCAGTAGTTGTGATGGGTATTGCATGAAGAAGAGAAAATTCACAATGGATAGGTTGAGATGGGATGAAATGCAGATACACCAAGTAGTAAGTTAATTTGCATGTCAGTTGAAAGATGAACTCTTTTTTTATTGTTATGTCCCTTTAAAATTAGGAGATCTTTTGAATCTTAAAGTGTCTTCCAATTTTGTATGTAGGTTGGTTAACTATGATTAAGTCTGTTCATGTGAAATTAAGGAGTTTTCATCATGTCTTCTGCTTGCTTGTTAGTGTTCATGGATGCCCTTCGTTAGTCTTCTGCCTGTTTGACTGTTGCAGCCCTTAAATTGTATGTTGTATACAGCTCCTATTTTTTCTTCTGGGATTGCTGGGTCTCTTGTTTTACTTAGGATGCTTTGGAGTATTTAGTTGATTTGTGTGCTATAGTGTAATAGTCTGTTGATGGTTTCTGAGATGTTTCGATTTATGGCAGTGTTATCCTTTCAACTGCTTGTTTTGGTTGTGCTATATTGGGTTGATTGCTCAGGCACTTTTTAATGAAGCTGCTTGGATATTGTGGGTGAAATTGTGCAGAGACCACCAATAGCCTACAGGTAGTCCTCAACCTACGACCTCAATTGAGCCCAAAGTTTCTGTTGCCAAGTGAGACATACGTTAAGTGAATTTTGCTCCATTTTACAATCTTTTTGCCACAGTTGTTAAGTGAATCACTACAGTTGTTAAGTTAGTAACATGTTTGTTAAGTGAATCTCGCTTTCCCATTGACTTTGCTTGACAGAAAGTCACAAAAGGTGATCACATGACTTTAGGACATTGCAACCATCATAAGTATGAGTCAGTGGTCAAGCATCTGAATTTTGATCACATTACCATGGGAATGCTGCAACCGTTGTAAATGTGAAAAATAGTCATAAGTCACTTTTTTCAATCATGTAATTTTGGACTGTCTTTAAATGAACTGTTGTAGGTTGAGGACTACCCAAATTGCAAGTAAATGACATCAACTCTGACAGACAGTATTCAATAGCTCAATCAAGGAGCCACCAAGACCATTCCCACCAACATTGACAGGGCAACTCATTAGTATATTAGAGCTCTGGCGATTCAGTGGTTAGGATGCAGTATTGCAGGCTAACTCACTGTTCACTGCCAGTAATTCGATTCTCACCGGCCCAAGGTTGACTTAGCCTTCCATTCTTCTGAGGTTGGTAAAATGAGGACCCAGATTGTTGGAGACAATATACTGACTCTGTAAACCACTTAGAGAGGGCTGTAAAGCACTATGTAAAGGGCTGTAAAGCACTATAAAGCAGTATATAAGTCTAAGTGCTATTGTATTTCTATATAAAATGAGAGCAAATCCCAGTTCCCATTAGCACTGATGGTGTTATGTAGTTTGGTAATAAAACATTTGCAAGAAAATAACCAAGCTCAAAGTGCATCAAGGGCCCCACAGTTCAACCTTGAGCTACAAATGTTCTTTTCTATCTATTTCTACAAACCTTTAATGTGTATTACAACTCAACTGAAGAGCTGGTGGCCGCCTGGGAGAGTGCGGCCGCCGGAGCTTTGGACCGTGTCGTGCCTTTGCGGCCTCTGACCCGATGCCGATCTCAATTGGCTCCTTGGTTCTCCGAGGAGCTGAGAGAGATGAAGCGTCGGAAAAGATGCCTAGAGAGCATTTGGAGGACTAGTCAATCCGATTCCGACCGGACACAGGTGAGGTCTTATATCAAGACCTACCTAGTGGCGATAAAAGTGGCGAAATCTAACCATTTCTCTGCTCTTATCGCATCTACAGAGAACCGCCCAGCCGCCCTGTTTAGGGTGACCCACTCCCTTCTTCGGGGGGGGGGGAGTGCGGGAAGATCCCTTGCAGGGCCACGCTGAGGATTTTGTGCAATTTCTGCATGATAAAGTCGCTCGAATTCGGGATGGCTTGGACTCCGATTGGATGAGTCCAGGGGAGGAGACAGGGGCAGGTCTTGAGAATATTATCTGGGAGGAGTTTGATCCTGTGGCTCCTGAGGATGTGGACAGGGTTCTGGGTAGGATTAGTGCCGCCACATGTTTATTGGACCCATGTCCCTCCTGGTTGGTACTGGCCTCCCGGGAGGTTACACGAGGCTGGCTCCAGGGGATTATAACTGCTTCTCTGAGTGAGGGTGCCTTTCCCGCCACCTTGAAAGAGTCAGTGGTGAGACCCCTCCTCAAGAAGCCTTCCCTGGACCCGGCTGAATTAGCTAACTACCGTCCGGTCTCCAACCTTCGTTTTGTGGCGAAGGTTGTTGAGAGTGTGGTGGCACGACAACTGCCTGGGCACCTGGATGAAGCTATCTATCTAGACCCGTGCCAGTCGGGCTTCAAGCAGGGCCACAGCACAGAAACGGCATTGGTCGCATTGGTGGATGATCTCTGGAGGGCTCGGGACAGGGGTTGCTCCTCTGTCCTAGTCCTATTAGATCTCTCAGCGGCTTTTGATACCATCGACCATGGTATCATGCTGCGGCAGTTGAGAGGGTTAGGAATAGGGGGCACCATTCTGCGGTGGTTCTCCTCCTTCCTCTCCGACCGCTCGCAGTTCGTGTTGGCAGGGGGGCAGAGGTCGACCTCGAGGCATCTCGCATGGGGAATGCCACAAGGGTCAGTCCTCTCGCCCCTTCTGTTCAACATTTATGTGAAGCCGCTGGGTGAGATCGTCCGTGGTTTTGGGGTGAAGTGTCATCTGTACGCTGATGATACTCAGCTGTACATCTCCACCCCAGACCACCCCAACGATGCCCTTGATGTGATGTCTCGCTGCCTGGAGGCCGTGCGGGTCTGGATGGGGAGGAACAGGCTCAGACTCAACCCGTCCAAGACCGAGTGGCTGTGGCTGCCGGCGTCCCGATATAGTCAGCAGGTGCCATCGCTAACTATTGGGAGTGAATCTTTGCCCCCCACAGAGAGGGCTCACAATCTGGGTGTCCTCCTGGACGCACGGCTGTCTTTAGAAGAGCATATGACGGCCGTGGCCAGGGGGGCCTTTTATCAGGTTTGCCTGATCTGCCAGTTGCAGCCCTTTCTGGACCGGGATGCCTTGCGCACGGTCACTCATGCCCTTGTCACCTCCCGGCTGGACTAGTGTAATGCTCTCTACATGGGGCTCCCCTTGAAGAGCACTCGGAGGCTCCAACTGGTCCAGAATGTGGCCGCGCGGGTGGTTATGGGCGCAACTCGTTGTGCCCGCGTGACACCCCTCCTGCGCGAGCTGCACTGGCTCCCAGTGGTCTTCCGGGTGCGATTCAAGGTGTTGGTTACCACCTTTAAAGCGCTCCATGGCATAGGACCCGGGTACCTTTGAGACTGTCTTCTGCCACCAATAGCCTCCCACCGACCAGTCCGCTCCCACAGAGAGGGTCTCCTCAGGGTGCCATCAGCCAAGTTATGTCAGCTGGAGACACCCAGGGGGAGGGCCTTCTCTGTGGGAGCCCCAGCCCTGTGGAATGAACTGCCCCCGGAAATACGTAAGATCTCCGACCTCCGGGTGTTTCATTGTGCATTGAAGACCCTGTTGTTCCGCCAGGCCAGGCTATCAATATAATAATTTTAAATTGGGATATTTTAAATTTTTGGGGTTTTAAATCGGCCAAATCTATTTAATTATTTTAATTTTTAATCATTGTTGTGTCTTGTGTTTTTAAATTGGCTGTACACCGCCCTGAGTCCTTCGGGAGAAGGGCGGTATAGAAATAAAATTATTATTATTATTATTATTATTTAATAGAATACTAATTTGCAAAATGTTTGTGGAATGCCCTAATTAGTCAAATTATTAACAGGAGGTGCTGTGGCTCAAAGATGGTTTCTGCTCTGAGGGTTCGAGTCCCAGCACTGCATGGTGACATAAGCTCCTGACACACTCCTCAGCTTTGGCCAAACTAGAAGTTTGAAAGCATGTTACTTGCAAGTAGATAAATAGGTACCACTTTGCTGGGAAAACAACCCGGTGCTTCGTGTGGATGGTCAGAACCCTGCTGGTGATGGACCTTCCTGGATGCAATGCCTGTTTGTGAGGTGACTTCGTGGAGGAAGAAGGTCCTGATGCTGCTGCTGGATGCTAAGCATCTTTCTTTCTGGTGTGAATCTAGCTCGCCCTCTGTGATGCACTATGGATAGTGCGCAAACATGAACAAAATGGGTTAGCAGTCTCAGCAGCCAAAACCTACTGTTCTGTATTAGCATTGTAGTCTACAAGCTATTGTTGCATTGCCAAATGCTAAATTAAATAAATTAAATAAAACAATCAGAAATTGTAATTTAACGGAACTGCAGTGGATATTCTCCTGACTTCTAATAGCAGCTGAAAAGTTAATACAGAAGAAAAGTCATACTTAGTTCTATACAAAACAAATACATAAAGCTACTATACTAGTAAGATTCTGAAGGAACTATAAATGGAAAAAAAATTATATTAGCAGATATATCATTCTGATACTAATTTGTGTATCTATTGTGTAGCAATTACAAATAAAATTATAACAATTTGTTTTTTGTAAAGCCAGTAGAAAATGATTTTTTATTTCCTGGTTTATTCCTTTTGAATAAAGAGGAAAAAGAGATTACGCACTTCTTAGATCTTTTAAGGATTTTTTCTGTATATTATTTCTTGAAGTTTAAACTTTAATACGTGTTCCATTGGAACATCTGC